CCTGCTTTCAGGCCGTTTCTGAGCGCAGTCAGGCGGCAGGCACCGCGAATCAGGCGGCAGGCACCGCGAATCAGGCCATCCAGGGTATGGAAATGGCTCAGGAACGAGCCAATCCAAAAAAAGAAATTATGTGTAGTATAAATCAGGAGGACCGACTAAACGCCATCGCCTCAATTGCTTGTAGCGAGGTTCTGCAAAATATTCTGCAAAGGAATTCTCCCTTTCACCAGTACCATGGACAGGCAAAACCCTCAGCACCTTTTCCGAACCCCCCACCCACTGCTCAGGCCTCTACCCCAAGTGCAACCACATCGGGCTCCTTTTATGGTCGGTCTCCTACTCCCAACTGCAAATGCAGTTGCCACCTTGCTCCCACACCCGAAATGTGCAAAACAGAGGCTGACATAGTCGCCGTCGGCGGTGGCGGACCGTTGCATTCCACACCGAACGCACTGACGCCAGCGGGCACAGAAAAAACGAAAGGTTGGAACGAGATTGTCGCGGATCTCACCAAAGAGTGGGTGAATCAGTTGATACCAGCTTCGAGTACGCAAGACCCAGCGAACCAATCAGATCCTGACCGTCTTTCGGACCTCCATTACCAGCGCCATCTCATAAACATGAATCGTCTCCGGGAGCAGATAGATTTGCTAGCATCGGAGGAGAGAAAACAGACTGCATCAAGGCTGACGGCTGCAGCCGTTAATCCTCGAGCACCTACAGAGACTTCCAATAACCTTCCGGCTGCCGACTGGAACTTAAGTGCATACGCCCCGTTGCTGAACCATTCCATGGAGTTCCTCTCCGGAAACCTTCCAACTGCACCCCCACTGCCTAGAGCGACGGAGTCTGGTTCCACAGAGCAGCGTACTGACGAAGGCTATGTTTGGATGCCTGTACAGGTCGGACTCATTGGCAAATGGCTAGCCATGCTGTCAGGCCAGATGCGGAACGACCTTAGAGGCAGTGAAGCCTGGAGAGAAGGACTGGTTGCCGCCAACCATTACGATCTCTCCCAAACGCCCTCAACAGTAGGCCATGCCAACCCCCAAAGACCACGTAAGTTCAATTGTAGCTTGTCCGGTCTCTAGAAACCGTGTGCTCCACCCATTTCGCCGGCGGTCT